TAGGTGTATGTGGCTGGCGCCTTAGCCACTTGAGCCACAAGTGCCGAGCCTCTTTCTTTTTTTGAGACAGAGTGTCACTTTGTTGCCCTTGTTGGAGTGTTGTGGTGTCACAGCTCACAGCAACCTCCAACTATTAGCTTAAGTGATTCTCTTGCTTCAGCCTCCCAAGTAGCTGGGACTACAGGCACCTGCCACAATGCCCAGCTAGTTTTTGTTGCAGTTGCCACAGCTGTTTTAGCTGGCCAGGGCCAGGTTCGAACTTGCCAAACTTGCCAACCTCAGTATATGGGACCAGCACCCTACCCACTGAGCCACAGGTGCTGCCCTTTTTTTTATTTTGAGACAGTGTCTCACTTTGTCACCCCTGGGTAGAGTGTCACAGCAACCTCAGACTCTTGGGTTCAAGCAGTTCTCTTGCCTCAGGCTCTTGAGTAGCTGGGAATTGGAGCTGGGAATTGAAGTGGAGGAGTTGGCCACAATACCCGACTATTTTTTTTTTTTTTTGAGATAAAGTCTTAAGATATTGCCCTCAGTAGAGTGCTATGGCGTCATAGCTCACAGCGACCTCCAACTCTTGGGCTGAAGCAATCCCCTTGCCTCAGTTTTTCTATTTTTAGTAGAGAAGGGGTCTCGCTTTTGCTCAGGCTGGTCTCGAACTCATGAGCTCAAGTAGTCCACCTGCCTCAGCCTTCCATAGTGCTAGGATTAGAGGCGTGGGTTGCTGCACCTGGCCTCCCCAGCTATTTTTTTAAGAGACAGAGGTCTTGCTCTACCTCAGGCTGGTCTTGAACTTATGAGCTTAGGTGATCTGCCTGCCTCAGCCTCCCAGAGTGTTGGGATTAGAGGCATGAGCCACCGTGCCCGGCCCTAGACATGTTTCTTTTTTTTTTTTTTTTTTTGAGACGGAGCCTCAAGCTATCCCCCTGGATAGAGTGCCAGGGCATCACAGCTCATAGCAACCTCCAACTCCTGGGCTCAAGCGAATCTCCTGCCTCAGCCTCCCAAGTAGCTGGGACTACAGGCGCCTGCCACAATGCCTGGCTATTTTTTGGTTGCAGCTATCATTGTTGTTTGGCGGGCCTGGGCTGGGGACTCGAACCCACCACCTTAGGTATATGTGGCTGGCGCCTTAGCCGCTTGAGCCACAGGCACCGAGCCGACATGTTTTTTAAATAAGACTAAAGGCACTGTGTTGAGATAATTCCAGATAGACAGCTACCCTGAATGGAATACGGAAACCTCTATGTGGAGAGAAAGACTTGGACACAGGTAATTAGAAAGCTATGGGTTATGTGCTGAGATGGTTATGCCCCTGTGTTTTATGCCTTTTTGAGGCTAGCATTTGTGGCTGGTTCATCCCTATGGCCTCTACCTCCTTCCCTAGGTTCTAGCACATGCTTGGTACAAAAAAGGAAGCAATAAATATTTGCTGGATGACTTAGGTCTAGGCCCACCATTTCCAGATGAGAAAAAAAGAGACCTAAGGATGATTAAGAACATGCCCAGTGGGCTGGGTGCTGTGGTTCATCCCTGTGATCCCAGCACTCTGGGAAGCTGAGGTGGGTGGATCGCCTAAGCTCACATTCAAGACCAGCCCGAGCTAGAAATTCCCAGCTCTAAAAATAACCAGGCATTGTGGTGAGTGTCTGTAGTCCCAGCTACTCAGGAGGCTGAGGCAAGAGAATCGTTTGTTGTGAGCTGTGATGCCATGGCACTCTACCAAGGAGCAACAAAGTGAGACTCTTATCTCAAAAAAAAGAAGAAAAGAAAAGAACCTGCCCAGTAAGGTGGCAGCAACAGATCCCAGATCTTCCTTCACCATGTTAGGAGTATTTTCCTGGGGCAGAAGTGTAGACAACACTGACCTTTGGCAGGCCCCATGTGGCTCAGGTACTCGCAGTGGCTGCTCCAGTGGTCTAGGGTGGCGAGGATGTGACTGGGGTCACCGGGCAGGGCGTGGGTAAGCACATAGCTGAAGGCCCGCTCCTCGATCTGTAGCCCTGACAGGCAGTCTCGCAGGCTCCGCAGTAAGACTGTACGCGCCAGGAGTCGGAAGTAATGCCGGTACCGCACCAGCAATGTCACCACCAGTGGCAGGAAAGCCAGTGCGATGGCTGGAGACATGGTTTCTACCTGGGCCCTGGGTGCAGGAAGGTAGGGAGGGAAGCCCACACCCACCATTTACCTGTCATTTGTATAGACCTTACCAGCAGCAATATCTTTAATGTTACAAACCATGGCTCAGAAAGATTAAGTCTTTTGTACTGAGCCACACAACAGAACTGGGATTTAAATCCAAGTTGGTATGATTCCAAGCCCATCTGCTTTCAAGGACTGCACACTGTCCATGTTTAGCACCCAACTGCAAACTGCTTCTCAGTCCCCACCCCTGGTTCCATCTTCACATTGCTCCCCCCACCCCCACTCGTTTCCCCTCATCCCTGAAGTCACCCTTCCTTTAGGATCTCTTTTACTAGTTCCCCTTGGGGATATCCTCCCCCTACTCTACACCCTGTCTGCTTTGTCTCCTCCAGCCTATTGCTGTATAGCAAAAGAGCACAACTTTTTAGTCAGAATCCCCTTCACTGTCACTATACTTTACCTCAGTAAAAAGGCAATCAAAACACTCCATAGGGTGTTAGGGTGAGAAGCCCTTTTTCCCACCTGAGGACTCTGCCTCTGTCTGCGCTTCCCTGGGTGTGGAAGGAATCTTTAATTCTATGATAACTCTCCAATAGTCCTATCTCCCCTCCCTTGTATTACACTTTTTCCCTGTCCTCATTCAGAATTCCCTTCTCAAGTGTGTACACACATAGATCACACAGCACACATTCCCCTGATCCTGTCTGTTTTCCAAAGGCCCCTATGGGAGATGGATGTCCTCTACCATGGCCTGGACCATCTTTCCTTTTCCTCCTGATCTGACCTCCTTTCAGGCCATCTTGTAAGGACCCTGGTGGTGATGGGGACTAAAAATGAAAGTAGAACAGGGCGGCGCCTGTGGTTCAGTTGGTGGGGCGCCGGCCCCATATACCCAGGGTGGTGGGTTTGAACCAGGTCCTGGCCAAACTGGAACAAAAAATAGCCGGGTGTTGTGGCAGGTGCCTGTAGTCCCAGCTACTTGGAGGCTGAGGCAAGAGAATAGCCTAAGCCCGGGAGTTGGAGGTTGCTGTGAGCTGTCATGCCATGGCACTCTACCGAGGGTGATAAAGTGAGACTCTGTCTCTTAAAAAAAAAAGAAAGTAGGACATATTGTATGAATGAGTATAAATGGGTGAGTGGTACAGTGAGCTTGAACTGGTGTGCTTGGGAACCCACACGCAAGGGCCCTGCTTACCTGGGCTGCGGGCTTCTGCTTTAGGGAAGACCAGAGCACAGGACAGAAGGGGGAGTCCTTCAGGAGGGTGAACTACCTGAGGCTAGAGGCTAGACCTGCTTTCAATTATTGATGCTGAGGCTGCTGATGTCACCTGAGAAGTTCAGTTCAAGTTACCAGTTGCAGAACTAAGCTGGAGCTGCCTCCTATCCTTTAGGAGCTCTTGAAAAACTTAGACTAACTCCAGGGTCTTTTTTTTTTTTTTTTCAGACAAAGTCTCACTTTGTCGTCCTTGGTAGAGTGCCATAGCGCCACAGCTTACAGCAACCTTGAACTCTTGGGCTTAAGCGATTCTCTTGCCTCAGCTTCTCAAGTAGCTGGGACTACAGGCACCCACCATAATGCCTGGTTATTTTTTTGTTTAGCAGGCCTGGGCTGGCTTCAAACCCACCAGCCCTGGAGCATGTGGCCGGCACCCTCCCCCCACTTCTCTTTGGAGATGTAGTCTCACTTTGTCGCCCTTGGTTAGAGTGCGATGGCATCATAGCTCACTGCAACCTCCAACTCTTAGGCTCAAGCGATTCTTTTGCCTCAACCTCCCAAGTAGCTGGGACTACAGGGGCCTGCCACAATGCCTGGCTATTTTTAGAGATGAGGTCTTGCTTTTGCTCAGGCTGGTCTGGAACCTGTGAGCTCAAGGCAATCCACCCGCCTGGGTCTCCTAGAGTGCTAGGATTACAGGCATTGAGCTATCGTACCCTCTGAACTCCAGGGTGTTGATTTGAGGGGTAATAAGAGCTACTGGGTCTGGTCATGTTTCCTCCAATTCCTTGGAGAAGGACATAGTGTCCATCAAGGTGATGCAGAGATTGTAATTTATTCATTCAAAATTCAAGTTTTCCCTAATCATGTGTCAGGGCTTGGTCACATGTGAAAATCAGAACTTGTCTCTGTCCTCCAGGAACTCCAAGATTGGTGGAAGAAACTGACTCAGGAACAGAGAATACAATTTAGTACCATTATTGTTGGATGTTCCATGACCAAAGGGACTTGCTCATGCTGTTTTGTGAACTACTGCATATCCAGATAGAATGATGTGTGGCACATAGTTGACAGTAAATATTTGTTGATCAATAAATGAATGAATCGGTATTGGATTAGGATTAAACACAGGGAACTGGAGATGCTCAGAGAATGGGGTCCACAGAAGGTAATCAGAAAGATAATGTTTGTATTGAGTCTTGAAGACAGTAGTCAAACATGGCAGAAATACAGTATGCCAGGCTGCATGTGCAAAGCCCAGTTGGTCAATCAGGAAATCACAAGTATTTTTTTTTGGAGACAGAGTCTCACTTTGTAGCCCTTGGTAGAGTGCCCTGGTGTCATATTACGGCAACCTCTAACTCTTGGGCTCAAGCGATTCTCTTGCCTCAGCCTCACGAGGAGCTTGGACTACAGCTACAGGCGTCCACTACAACTACAGCTACAGGCGTCCACTACAACAACTACAGCTACAGGTGTCCACTACAACGCCTGGCTATTCTTAGAGGCGGAGGAGGGTGGGTGTCTTGCTCTGGCTTACTCTGGTCTGGAACCTGTGTGATAAGGCAATCCACCGCCTCAGCCTCCCCAAGTGCTGGGATTACAGGCGTGAGCCACTGCGCCCGGTCCCAAGTATTTTCCTAGGGCTGGTGAAGCACCTTCCCAATAACTCTACTCCTCAAAACCCCAACCCACGGCATGGAGTGGGAAGCACGTGTCAGGCTCCCTAAGATCTTGAATGACAAGACTCGAACCTGTGTTCAGGGCCCAGGAGAAGACACCAGAGGGTTTTTTTTTTTTTTGAGACTGAGCCTCAAGCTGTCCCCCTGGGTAGAGTGCCATGGCATCACGCTCACAGCAACCTCCAACTCCTGGGCTCAAGCGAGTCTTCTGCCTCAGCCTCCCAAGTAGCTGGGACCACAGGCGCCCGCCACAACGCCTGGCCATTTTTTGGTTGCAGCCATCATTGTTGTTTGGCGGGTCCGGGCTGGGGATTCGAACCCGCCACCTTAGGTGTATGTGACTGGCGCCTTAGCCGCTTGAGCCGACACCAGAGGGTTTTAATAAAAGAACTGATTATCAGCTTTGTGTCTCAGATTACTGTGGCTGCCCCCCAAAAGCAGGATTGAAGAAAAACGCCTGAGGGCGAGTAAGTCAGCCAGGTAGCCTCTTCGCTTCTACCAGGACTGATGATCTCTCTGCTTCACCTTAACAAGGGATACGGTCTCTTTCTTCATGCATGTCGCAGATACCCACCCAGGTTAAGAACTCTGCTGGGTGCTACAGCTTCTGTGTATCCCCAGATCAGGCGCCGGCTCATCTTAGATTTTCTGTGTGCTCCCCGACTATAGCATTGGCCTGGATCCCATTCACCCCTCCAATGGCATGTAAAAGAGTATATCGTAACGGTATTTGGTATAAGAGTTTGTACACTGGCCAGAAAAGTGGCCTAATAACCATGAGATACATAGCGCAATTCACGAGGGCGACTACCGCTAGTGGTGGCGAAGATTCGACTTTAGAAACAGGGAAGATAAAAAAAGTCATGTGATCCCCTCCCCCTTTGCATGCGTCACGTGCCTCACGTCTTCTCACGCAGGCTCCACCTTCCCAGTGGTTGGGGCTGATCACGCGGTGGGGGGCGGGGCCGGAAGCCATGGTACTGGCTGAGGCGGCCAAGCGGCTCCGGGACCAAGTAGGCGCGGGGGGCGGTGCCGGGTGGTTGCTTGTGGGAGGCAGCCACAGGTCATGTGACCGGAAGGGCTCCTGACGGACGCCGTCCCTCCTCGGCTCGGCCTGAGCGCCCAGCCCGACCCCGGCGATGGGGTGCTGCTACAGCAGCGAGAACGAGGACTCGGACCAGGTGCGGCCGCGGCAGGCGGGGCTTGGGAATGAGGGCTAAGACCCTGGGGCAGGGGACCCAAAAAGAAACCTGCAGAAGCGGTAGAGCCAGACTGCAGGGCTCACTGGAGTACGGAGGCCTGGAAGAGACATATCACAGCGGGTAGTAGAGCCGGGTTCTCTAGCCCTTTTAAAGCCCTAGGTTTCTGCACAGTCCCTTAGATAGCCGCCTGTCTGGCTCGCTTCCACCTCTTCCACCTTCACATCTTTACATTTTCAAAGATCTTCCGCTTGGGAAGCACTCCTTTTCCAGCTTCCTTTTTCTTCTCTGTGCTTGTATTAGCCGGCTTTACGAATCCATTTTACGAGTGGGTAAGCTGAGGCTCTGAATTAAGTCTGTCCCGAGAAGAATCAGGAATTTTGTGTATTCTCTCAAGATTTGAGGTTGGGGAAGGAAGGTCACTGCTAGTCTCTGGTCAAAGAAGGACTCTGGAAGTTGATGGCATTTGAGTTGGGCGTGTGGGAAGTTGTTTGGAAAGCAACAAATCGGGTTTAGCTTGGTTTTAGATTGAGGGAAAAGGAGATGGATGGGGAACTCATTTGGTTCTGAGTTTGGCCTGCCTCAGAGCTGTCCCTGTCCGAGGCCTGAGGGTTCCTCTAGCTAGGCGGGTGCCTGTCCTGTGAATCTGGCTGTAGATATCCCTTTGGAGAAAGGATTAGGTAGGGAGCGCTGTAGAGTTTCAAATTCTCCCTCTTTTCCTTGGTGCATTGTTCTCTCCACACTTTAATCCCTGCCCTGCCTGGCCTGACCACCTTTGAAGAAGGGGACCTTTCCAAGGATGAAGTCTCATGCTGCTGGCCACCAACTTTTTGATTGCCTCCAAGCCTGGGTTCTATGTTTCAACACATAGCAGACACAAAGACAGTGGAAATGTTTCAAGTAGCTCAGCCTATGGGAGAGATGGTCATAGACGTAGATTATATTGCTCGTACATGGGAAGTAGTTGTTTTGCCAGTAAAGGCATTTTGGACTAAGGGCTTTAAGCTAGGAAAACTTATTTTGTTTGGGAAGCATTGTGGCTCCTGGTCCTCAATTCTCCAAATACCCAAAGAATACATACATTTCCTATGGCCTTGCTTCGTGCCCAGTACCTCACTTTACTCCACCTGTTAAAGGAGACAGTAACCCTGCCTACTGGAAGAGCTGTGGCCTAGTGGAAATTGTCCCTTAAAGCATAATATGTGTCAGGGAATGAGTCAAGAAGCCTTATGAGGAAGGATACCCGCTATTTATTTATTTACTTATTTTTGAAACAAAGTCTCACCATGTCACCCTGGTAGATGGCTGTGGCATCAGAGCTTACAGCAACCTCAAACTCTTGGACTCAAGCAATTCTCTTGTCTCAGCTTCCCACGTAGCTAGGACTACAGGCAACCACAATGCCCAGCTATTTTTTAGAGACCAGGTCCTGCACTTGCTCAGGCTGGTCTTGAGCCTGAGAACTCAGGCAATCCACCTGTCTTGGCCTCCCAGAGTGCTAGCGTTACAGGTGTGAGCCACCATGCTTGGCTGATACTAGCTTTTAGTTGGAAGCAAGAGCTGGGCTTTACTAGTCTCCTGAATCTCCACCTTTTCCTTGATGGGCTCACTTCTGTTCCTAACCCCCAGAGAAACTGCTTAGACTGCTGGGTGATGTAATGCTTCATGGAGCAAAAATCATAATCATCATCTCAAAGTTCCTCATTCAACTCTTGGAAAAGCCCCTCTCCTATGCTCATCTTTGCCCATTTATTATAATGAGACGTACCATACATTATAGTTTTCCAAGGGCTTTTACAGTTAATGCATTTGCTTCTTTCCAAACATCTGTCATACAGGTGTAGGGTATGTGTCTTCAAAGATGGGGAAGAAGTTCAGACAGGCTAAATCATTTAGCCAAGCTAAGAAATGCTATAGCAGAGGTGTTTTGATACCAAGCCATGTACTTTATGTATTGAACAGGCCAAGTTCTTTTTTTTGTTTGTTTGCAGTTTTTGGCTAGGGCTGGGTTTGAACCCACCACCTCCAGCATATGGGTCCGGTGCCCTACTCCTTTGAGCCACAGGCGCTGCCCAGGCCAAGCTATCTCTTTTAGCCATGCCCATGACTAGGTATCCAGTCATGGGCAGGCCACATGTGCTAGATAGATGGTGAAACCCTAACTTTTGACTCAGGGACAAACCTTGGTGTGCCAAATCTAATCTATGCTCTACTTGTCCTTTAGGGGCAGGGTGATCTTATTTATCCACTCTAAAGGGTAGCCTGGCTTCTTCTGGGAGCCTGGGTCTTAGGAAGACCTTCTACTTCCCTGACCTTAGCCAAAAGGCTGAGCAGCCATCAACTCCATTCTTTAAGAATACCTGCTAGGGAAAAAACTACCCTGTCCTGCAGGAAGATGTATCTGAAACGGGGCTGGAGGAAGGACAGACACATAGGAAGCAAACTTGGGCCTCATTATGGAGCCAGTTTTCCTTAGAGATATGTAGTTTCATCTTGACAAGCATTTTGTCTTTCGGGCTCTTTAATACTGAGCCTGTGTTAGGGAAGGAGGGTTTCTGGGAGTTCAGAGGTGTTGGGACAGAAGCCTACAACTTATTTCTCATGCTGTTGAGAACTGAATCAAACTGCCTGAGGACATTTGGGTAACCTAGGCTTGACAAGGAGAGTAAGGTAAAAAGCCTGGGCCTGCCTAGGGCATGGAAGGTAAGGCAGAGGAAGCAGCCCTTTAAAAGAGTTAAGGAGTTGCAGGCAAGGAGCAGGAGCCTACAGCAGGGAAGTCTGTGGCAGGAACTGAGACAGATCTGGAGGGGAGCACTGAAGAATCTTATAGTCTGGCCTTGAGTGTTGGTGAGTGAGCATTAGTTAGCTGGGACCCCACCCCTTGGCTTTGTCCTGGGTACCCTTGCTCTTCGTGGCTTGTTTATCCAATCTATAGCTGATAGAAAGCCAGCAGGGATTTGCAGCTGATGGGCTCAAGGCATGGTCAAATCCAGAAAGATTACAATAGATTATAAATAGGACAAGGAGAAATGCAATTAGGAGTGAGGTGATTTGGTTGGTCTTAGGTCAGTTCTAGGGGATGTGATTATTGCCATAGGTTCTTAATAGAAGGGCTGCTGAAAACTTAGAAGCTGCCCATTAAAAGAGGTGTGGTAGCTTGGCAAGAATGGAAGCAGCTACACTGTTCAGCTCAGGTATACTCAGTTTGGTTCTGAAAGTCACATACAGAAAGAGCACCAAGGGAATATCTGAGTAGAAGGGACCTGCCCTCAAAAAGGGTGCACCCATGTAGTGTGAGGCTGCACTGGTATTCCTGTCCTGGGATAATCAGAGGAATGGTCCTTGAGAGGCTGGGCCTAGGGCCTTGTCTCTGGACTCATCAAGACCTCTCAGAGCCCTGGGAGCAGCCAGCCTTCCAGAAGGGTGTTTCTTGGGCTCCTGACTTGCACTTATTTCTCCTCTAGACAATACTATTTTAGAATTTCCTACCTCCTCTGACTTCCAGCCTCCAATATCCTTTCTCCACCAGGACTCTTTCTGAAGCTCCGGAGCTATTGCTAAATACCTGCTCTAAGCCTCACAAAAATCAGGGGCTCAGCAAAATAGCGAGACTTTGTCAAAGAAAGAAAGAATAAAGAAATCAAAGGCTCTAGGACTGATTAGTCCTACTTTAATTCATCTAGACCACCAACTTAGACAAGCTCCCAAGGGCAGATAGAACTGAGTCTTACCTTACATTCTCTAAGCCTGGGCACTTTGAATATTCCTTATTATAAAAATATCTTAGTATTTAAATAAAAGTCAGAGCTGGGCTAAGGAGAGAACCTAAGAAAAGGCAGGTAGGAAAGGCAGTCCTGGGGCTGACTTCTCCTCTATGGCCTCTTCTAGGACCGAGAAGAACGGAAGCTGCTGCTAGACCCTAGCAGCCCTCCAACCAAAGCCCTCAATGGAGCTGAGCCCAACTATCACAGCCTGCCTTCTGCTCGCACGGATGAGCAGGCCTTGCTCTCCTCCATCCTTGCCAAGACAGCCAGGTAAATGTCACAGGACCAAGCTTGGGGCAAAGCTCCTTCATCCATATTAAAGACTGAGATTATAGGAGCTAGGCCCATGACATGGGGAATGGGACAGGGTCATTGGGGAAATGTGCTTTAGAGCCATGCTCTAGTAGGCAGGTTGGGGATGCCGATGCCATGGAGTTGGTACCTGGGCAAACACTAAGTTCTGTTTGTTCCTTTTGGAAGCACTTGTCATGTCTTCTCTGTCTCTTCCTCCAAAGCAACATCATCGATGTATCTGCTGCAGACTCTCAGGGGATGGAGCAGCATGAATACATGGACCGGGCCAGGCAGTACAGGTGAGCACTCGGCCAGCTTGGGCTTCTCTCCCCTCCATGCTTGTTCCAGCTTTGTAGTTTGGGCCCCAGTCCAGGCTCCTCATTTGGGCATATCCCAATAGACTGACCACAAGTCGCTTGAGTGCTTCAGCAGATATTCATGTCAGTGTTAGCCCTATTTACTGTATAATAGTCTTTTTTCTTTTTTGAGACAGAGTCTCACTATGTCACCCTGGGATTAAGTGCCAGGGCGTCATAGCTCACAGCAACCTCCAACTCCTGGGCTTAAGAGATTCTCTTGCCTCAGCCTCCCAAGTAGCTGGGACTACACCCACAACACCCTGGTATTTTTTTTGTTGCAGTTGTCATTGTTTAGCTGGCCCAGGCTGGGTTCGAACCTGCCAGTGGTTGTGGCTGGCACTGTAACCACTGTGCTACAGGTGCCAAGGGAGGTGGGCCTAGAGTAACTTTGCGATGAGCTGAGGCCCTGTCATCCTGCTTCTCTGGCCTGAGGGAGTGAGGCTGGGCTGGTCAGACAGTTGTGCCTAACTTTTCGTTCCTACCCTGTTGACCAGCACCCGCTTGGCTGTGCTGAGCAGCAGCCTGACCCACTGGAAGAAGCTGCCACCGTTGCCGTCTCTCACCAGCCAGCCCCACCAAGTGCTGGCTAGCGAGCCCATCCCTTTCTCTGATTTGCAGCAGGTGAGCCACCCCTCACTTGACCTTGCCACCCTTCCCACAATGCCCAGGATAGAAGGGTTCACCTGCCCCGCCTCAGAGGAGTTAGGGAAGGTGGTGTTAGGGAGGCTGGTAGCCTGTGGGTTCCAGTTAACTCCCACTTTATTCTTTTACTTTTCATATCCTTGTCTGCCCTCCTCTACAACCTTTATTCCTTTTCTCCCTTTTGTTCTTTTCCTTTCCCATCCCCTTCCCACCCTTTGTCTTTCCTATCCCTTCCTTTCTCTTTGGCTTCTTTTTGCCTATGGTTCCTTCCTCTTTTCTTATCCCCTATCATCCCCCTTCTTTGCTGTTCTCTCCTCACCTGTGTTTCTCTCTCTTCCCTGCCCTCTTTTCTGTCTCAGGTCTCCAGGATAGCTGCTTACGCCTACAGTGCACTTTCTCAGATCCGTGTGGATGCAAAAGAGGAGCTGGTTGTACAGTTTGGGATCCCGTGAAGAGAGGGGTCCTTGGACAGCTCTCCTCCTCTCTTCACCCTGTCTCAATCCTGCCTCTCCTGGCCCCTAGCCTCACTGCGGCCTATACAGTACCCTACCTAACCTGCTACTAATCACAGAGAAAAATGTGGAGGAGGAGAAGAGCAAGGCTGGCCTGAGCAAGTGAGGACGGAGCATGGGAGGGTAGAACCATTTGGGACTGGCTATTGAAGCCCTGGCCAGGGGTGGGGTGGGGGCAAAAATACAAGGCCTGGTATGTCTTCAGTCATTGGGAAAGTGGAGATACCACTGGGGTGGGGAGGTGACTACCCGGTGACCTAGGAGGATCCCTTTCCCACCCTTTCTCTTGGTCTCAGATTCACTCCTGCCCCCCTCTCCCTGACTTGGTGCTCACATGCACCTCACTAGGGTTTGTGACCAGGGTCTGGATGAGCTTGAATTTGAATGAATTGAGTTTGTATTTCTAGCACCCTGGGTTTTTACATGTTTTGTGTTTTTTCTTTTCGTTTTGGTTTGTCACCCTTGATAAAGGAAGTATATTCATCTGTGTGCTCGTTCTAGTCCTTCTGTCCTGCCCACCACCCTACTACATACTTCTGGCTACTCCAGTCTATGAGTAGTGAGATGGGGAGAGGGGAACATCTTCTAGGGGCATCAAAGACAAATGCAGGAGGATAACGATTCAGGATGTCCGTTCTTAGCTGAGACTTGGCCTAGACTAACCTCAAATTAGGTAAGACTATTCTTGTCTCTTCTTTGGTGATGGGAGTACTGTCAAAGCTGAACACTAAAGGAATCTGAATCTGAGCAGGTGTGACTGCCTCAAACTCACAGAATTACCTACAGTCCCTGAGGCTAGCAGGGAGGCAAGTGATAGGGGTGAGGGCAGATCAGGCTCTTCTGGGAGTACCTGATACGGAGTCAGCAAGCAAATGTTATTTAAGCAGAAGATTCTTTTTATCAAATAAAATCTTAAGAAGCAGAATTCCAATATATAAAAGAAAGTAGAACTACTCTGATCTGATTAAAGTAGGGGAGGGGAGGCCAGGCATGGTGGCTCACGCCTGTAATCCTAGCACTCTAGGAGGCTGAGGAGGGTGGATTACTTGAGCTCATGAGTTTGAGACCAACCTGAACAAAAGTTGAGACTCCCATCTCTACTAAAAATAGAAAAACTGAGGCAAGAGGATCACTTGAGCCCAAGAATTAGAGATTGCTATGAGCTATAACGCCACAGCACACTACCCAGGGTGACAGCTTGAGGCTCTGTCTCAAAAAATAATAAAAAAAAAAAAAGTGTGTATGTGGGTTTCACAGTTCACAGTCCACTTTCTTGGCCTGTCATGGAGGCCTGTGAGGCATCTCCACAGATCCTGGTATTCAACTAAGAGAGAGTAAACAGCAGGGTGGCGCTTGTGGTTCAAAAGGGTAGGGTGCCGGCCCCATATGCTGGAGGTGGCGGGTTCAAACCCATCCCTGGCCAAAAAAAAAAAGAGTGAAGCTTGCTGGTACTATGTAAAGAGTTTGGAAATTGGGCAGCACCTGTGGTTCAGTGAGTAGGGCACTGGCCCCATATAACAAGGGTGGCGGGTTCAAACCTGGCCTCAGCCAAACTTCAACAACAACAAAAACAGCTGGGCGTTGTGGCGGGTGCCTGTAGTCCCAGCTACTCGGGAGACTGAGGCAAGAGAATCACTTAAGCCCAGGAGTTGGAGGTTG